TAGTGGCCAGCCCAGCCTCAAACTGTGACATGCACGAATTATAAAAGCCTTTATAAAACCAGGGAGAGAGCAATCTTTTACGCTTTAAGAGAAAATCGAAGAAATTTGAAGATGGCAATGAAATAAATACACTTCTATGTGAAACAGACAAGTACACATATGCAAAATTCTTTCTGAGACTTCTCTCCGCAAATATTTTCAGTAAAGAATGTGACAACTTAAAAACAAGGTAACATAATCTCTTCTGGTAAAGGTTGTCCTTAAAAGCTTATCCTTAGAAATGAAATTCTTACACTATACTCCCTTGCTAGCCTCACAGCGCTTGTGAAGGTGAAGACTTCCCAAGCTAATTTTCAGAACTCAAAACCTGGCCGCCTTTTTTTTTTTATTTTTTTCATACTCATTCAAAAGCTTCACTCACAGTGAAATAGTTACACATCTGTCAGAGGCTTCCATGCATAAGGGCCAGAACAGCATGAAACAAGTTTTAAAAGACTCCAACCTGACAGAAAGGACTTTTTTGGAGGACGGAGATTGAGGAATGTGGCTTTGGGCCGTTTTCCAAGACTGGCAGGATATGCCAGCTATTCCTCTGGGCCCCGGAGGAGAGGAGTGAGGGTATGGTTATGGCACAATTTATCGCTGAGGCACTGAACACTGGTGAGACCCGCTGGGAGCTGGAAAAAAGCTGCTCAAGCGTTTGCAAAAGGAGATTTTTGCAGGGACAGTGAAAGGGCAAGATGCTCCCTGCTCTCGTGGTTCTTGCCATGCCACCTGTTGCAGCATTCACGCTCTCAGTTCCATGACACGTGTCTCATGCTGCTGACCCTCTTCATTCAAGCCAGGCTCGTTCCACCCTGTTTTCAAACCACCTTCTGTAACAGATGTCTGATTTTTTTGATGGTGGCTCCTTTGGCTCCAGGACAGTCAAGAACTGGGAGGATCTCAAATACAGCCTGTCAAATTTAGCATGAGAGCTATCCTACATCATGTAGAAACACATGGTACAGAACATGTGTTCATCTTCTCCGCTCACAAAAACAGAAGCCCAGGAAGGCTACAAATTACTGTGCAAAGAAAAATTTGTACAGTGAAAGCACACTAAGGTGAATGTGAAGGCTTAGCAAAGTAGAAGCAATCTTCTCCTATTACTGTCACTAAATGATATATTGTTCTTTGTCTCTCCAGCCATCGCCAATACCTGACACTTTCAGAAAGCTAGATCTTCAGTGTTAAGCAAGCAGACTTCTTTATTTTTTTAGCTCTAGGAAATGGAGTCTCTGTGAACACAGACTATTGTGTGAACAACTTAATTAGTGTTTCTGACGTTAGAATCTATCAGACCTAACTTACACCCGGCTCAAAATAGAGAAAGAAAAGGGGAACATGTCCTAAATCTCCAGAAGCAAATCCATCGATTTTTTTTCTAGCCCAGTGAAGACATGAGCCATTTAGAGACAACACAATTCTTTTTCAGTGAGGGATTATATCATCAACTCTAAGATATTTCCATTTCCATGGAGAAGTAAAGGTATGACAACAGTCAGGATGGAACTGACCTGCTGAAATCTGAGAAATGCCATTCATCACTGATTAAAATGACAGAAGAGTACAAAGAGCATTTGTAAATTATTTCCTACAGTATTTTCTTTCCCATATTGTTTAATTCATGGTTATATGCCTGATGACACAAAGTACAGAAAATGGTCCTTGTCGTACGAAAAGAGGCTAGAAGTGAAAACCTGACTCCTGGAAGCCAATGAGGGTGTAGTGTATGAGTGCTATTAAAACATATTTGACCCAAAAGATTTTAGCTGGCTTCCAGCACGACAAAATACTTTGCTTTTATTGAAAAGCATTAATGTTTGCAATTACCTGTCCCCACCATCACAACATTTTATACCTGCTAGGCCTGAATAATAACACTCTGCTACCAATTTTTTGCAATTAAAATTTTATATAATGATGTTTGTGGTATTAATTGTATCAGCATAAGTTTTCTAAATTCTGTTTTTCCTTACAGCTACGTCACCCAAATAAAATCATAGTGAAGCAGTATAGCTCAGAGACACGCTGCCTCAACCTTTTGGACATGTGCTTTATTTTACACCCTGGACAGTAACAGATGCCGTTCCTATGCTCAGTGTTTGGAGTCTCCCCTAGGGTCTGTATTAGGGGCAGCTCTGAACCAAGTTTCAGCCTGCAAAGTAGGCAAATGTGCAAACCAAGAAGTGCTGTACCTCTACCTTCTCCAGAGGAGGGGCAAAATGTGGATTTGGGGGGGCCAGCTGTGATCCCCATCAAAACACCCGCTTGCACATTTTCACGTCTTTTGGCAAAAAAGGAAATCATGGCATAAAGGGAGCACTCCTTGCTGAATCTAAACATAAAACCTGTGAATTGTCTGATATTTGTAGAGTAAATAAATTTATTACCCTATCAGTTGATCTTTGTTTTGTTCCACAAGGGTGGGAGGAACATTAGAGACGATGACTTGCATATCCAACTGATTGACCACAGACACCTGGAAACAGAAGAGTGAAATTCAATTTGCGCTCCCACACAAAACATCCTCCTGTACAAAAAGAATGGAATAATTACTTTCCTGCCTTCACAGCCATGCCCTGATTTATGGATTTCTCATTTTAATTCCAATAAGAGAGCTGGGAAATTTTGCTTTGCTTGTCAGTCAAAACCAATACACAGCACGCAAAGATTTAACTAGAACTGTAATTACAGGACTGCATCAGAATTATAGATATTTAAGGTGCTGCCTATGAAACCTGTTCTTTGTAGTTTAGACTTTACTTACAGAACCACAGATGTCCCATACGCCATATTCAAAATTATGAGCTTTCTGGGATTTTTGACGATTTCATAGCAAAATCCAGCCTTGGAGATACGCAATTTCACCAATGCGATACAAGATGAATTCAACTAAATCAATGATACTTTGTTAGAAAATCATGAAGGAAAATGTTAATTTGTTTTGAAGTTACCAGTGAAAGTTTCTTTCTTAATCTCAGGTTTTTTAGCTTCTCCTTCCATAAAGCATAAAACTTATATACGTACATAACCCTGAACGTTTTCCAACTGAACTTTTTTCTTTGAAAGGTCAGGAAAAAATGCCTCTAATGCACTCAATGGTTGTGTGCTCTGTTTAAAAAAAAGAATGAAAAATTCCAGGATTCCACCAAAGAGCAGACTGAGCTCAGAACAAGTCTCTCACATTAGCATTTTCTACTACAAAAGCCACGTGAGTTGCCTGTCTCTCAGTGGCAGGTTGGACGGTCAGCGTGCACAAGGCACTACACGCATGCATCAAATTCAGCTTTACATCTCCTGATCTAGTCTCCTCAAGCTACTTTTATCCCAAGAAAAGGCTGTTTTCCAGTAAAATGATTGCATGCTTTTTCCTCCCTTTTAAATATTTTTTCAGTTCCTAATATCTCTTCACTAGCACAGCCAGCTTTCCCTCAGGTTGTGAAAGGAACAGTTACTTCCCATACTGGTGGAGATAATATAGCATTTCTTTAAATGTGGCTCATGTCCATATAGCCATGACAGCAAACATTACACTCCAAACCTAAACTCCCTATAGAGGATTCTGGAGGTAAATTTGGAAAAGTAGGACAATGTAAAACCCATTAAAGTTAATAACCGGGGTTAGCCGATTCAACTCTAAAAGAAAAATACAACCCCTCATTTTCAAAAGAGAAGCCTGAGCCCTGTAAGCACTTCAGCAGACAAGCCATAGTATATTGTCACATCAAACACTGATTCACCAGCTTTGAAGCTTAATTCAACTTTAAATATTTAAATGTTCTTGAAATGTCATCAGATGCACTGATCAACATGTACCAGCTTCTGTGTAAGAAAAACAGAATTATAATGAACTCAAAATAAATTTTAGACTAAGAGCATTGAGAGGAACTCTAAAGCAATGAACAGTTTAATAGAATTAACTACATTAGCCAATTCAAGCAAACATTGTGCACCCGTGTATTGAGCACTGCATAAATGCGCTTAAAAAAAGGCAATAGTTCTTTCGATAGTCAGGGAATCACAATTATGACTACTTGTTCATATAAAAAGACATCAATAAATACACATTCACAACAAGCTATAGTAAAACAAGGGTGTTGAACAAAAATAAAGAAAAAGTTAAGGTTTCCATAGTAACATTAACTTGCTTGCTATCCACAGTTGTCAAGGCTTTCCTTTCTCAATTATTAAAAATAGCATTAAGTTGAGGAACTAAGTCCAATGTACCTACAGTGTAACAAAAGCTGTGGGGAGAAACTGTTCCCTTCCACTCCAGGAGGAATGGAAACATGCCAGGAGCAGACATGGAAGGTGTGGGAAAGCAGAGGCTCTTCCTGAGGCACCACCGTCACTGCTCTCTGGAAGCTTTTTGGGGCACAGTTACCAGGGACTGTCTGATCCACCGCTCCTTAGAAAGCTTGTGCTACTTCCAGTCTACTGAGCAAAACCACAGCCAGGTCTTGTGATGCTAAATAGCAGGCGTCAGCCTCAATCATAGAGCTGGCAGTCAGCATGTTCAGATGTCTCATGTCCATAAGTATCTGAAGAACACATTGCTGAGAGCTACGAAAGTTCCAAGTTAAATTAAATAAGTAGCACAACAAACTGGAATTTTGCAGCAGAGTTTTTAATTGTTGATAGCCACTAGCCCATAAGCAGTATCGCATTGATGCCACGCTTTATTCACTAGCCACCTTCCAATTTTTAAAATCAAGCAAGGCAAAGCCTACAGAGTTGATGACTATACAGCACCAATGGAGTTGACAGTGCTTATGTTCCTGGGAGTAGCTTATGTTGACAACTGAATGAGGCAGGGGCCTTGGGACCCACCCCAAACCCCAACAACCACTTGGTTAAAGATGGTATCATTGTGATTATTCACTATCTACGCTTACTTAGTACCTTTAAGTGCTTACTTGCAGCAAACTTATTTTAAAATGCAAGTTCTTATTTCTTTCGTCTCAGAAAGGCTAAAAGGGGAAATTCCATCACACGGAACCAAACTGTAGATCCACAGATGTCTAACTTGAGCCAGCAGGAACAGACTGGTATCCTTCACATGGACTGTCCCCTACAGCATGAAGACATTTTACCAGTGGATTTGGCAGCTTACGCTGTTCAGAGCTGTGCCAGGTCTCTTGAGGAAGTGTCCTGGCCCCAGTTCTGGAGGATACCTTCCTCTCCTCAGGTTCCTCCCAGTACTGCCCCTCTGGTGTTGCTCCACCTCTTCTCCCTAGACCTCCTCCCAGTGCAATCCTATCTTTTTTTTGCATATGAGCACTTAATTTTATTTCCCTTGCCTACATGCACTCCTTGACCTTGTACTGAAAGAAGTAACACCTCCCAGCCTGAGCGCCTGACACTCCAGAGACAGCAGGACAAATTCTGTTCAAATCATGAAGCCCAGGAACAGCTTAGGCTAGTTAGAAAGGATCTTCATGTATGGATCATGCTCAGGGCAAACCCAAACTTTCACGGCGGGATGGTGTCAGTCTGTAACTGTATCTACAGCTACTCTAAGCTTTCATGCCTTGCTCAAAACCACCGAGTGTGCTGCTCATCCCTCACTCAGACAACCTAAAGATACCTCTCTAAATTAATGAGACATACTTCACTTCCCAATTTTAATGTTGATACCTTCTGGCTATATTTTAACATACTATTACTGCATAAATTGCATGAGAATGCCCTATCATTTGGGGAGGTCAAGCATGAGGGCATCATGTATTATGTTTATTTGCCGAATTCCTGCATAACTCAATATTCCAAGTATTATGGCTATCACCTGTATCATTTGACAGCATTCCCATGAAATAGATAATGCACTTCATCCCTACAACTTTATGCTAATACCAATCCAATTCATCAAGTTATAGGCTTTAAAGAAATTTTGCTTTGATGGTTTCTGTGACTGGACGTAGTCAACGTGCTTTACTCAGCACTAAACCATGAGCTCAAGGCCTAAAGCTGGTGCCAGTTTTGAAACGTGACTTCCCTGAAAACTTAAAGTACAGTCTTGGCCCGGAGTTATTCCTTGCATCTCCCTTCCAGACATGAGCAACTAAGACATAGCGACCTTGGCTTTCCCCAGGCAGTCAACTGACTTCTAGCTTTCAGAGACTGCTCAGATATTTGTGTGCACTGCAATATACACCAGATGTAACTCTGACCCAGGAGCTACGTACTCACGTTTACACAGAGTACAGCCCAAGTTAGCTAGCTTTCAGCTTGGCTTATTAACTGGGGTTTAATGCCATGCTAACCCTGCTTCACAGCTTTGATACGGGAGCTAGCTGCGCCTTACTGACCTAGAGACTAGGCGGAGATGATCTGTAATGGCTCATGCCCAATCATGCAGATGTGACCTGCTTTATACCTGTAATGCACAAAACCTGCACCTTCTTTGCTGCCCTCTGAGTGCAGAACACAACTTAGGTCCATATTTAATGCAAACAATTAGAATCTAAATTGAACCACTAACATTGGCTTACTGAATAAAATTCTGAACATCACGTCTAGTGAGATCAGTATCTCTGCTACGAAACACGAACACGTTTCAGACAGTCATAAAAGCTTTTGGTTTAAAAAACCCCACTTTATTTCAGTGACTTAGAAAGATTAAGTGCACACAGTTTATGGCCTTCCTATAGGTCTGCCTGGAATTAAACTTTATGCAGTGTTTGAATTTCCTCAGGAATTATTTCATAAAGATAACACCTGGCTCATACTTACAAGTACTTCTGCTTTGCTGCTCAGTCCTTTTCCATAATTGTCAGTTGCAACAACCTGAAACTTGAAATAGGATCTTCTCATATTTTTGAACAGCATAGCAGTTTTTATTAGCCCTGTGTAAGCCTCAATCACAAAACCTTCTTTACCATCCTTGATTGGAGGAATGATGAGTCTGTATTGCATGGCACTATAATTCCCAGTGTCTTTATCATTGGCCTAATAGGAAAAAGAAAACAAGCAGAGGCAAATAAAGTAAATACGCATGCAAAGAATCATTAACCTTGTCCTTTAAATAAAGTTGCATATTGGCCCAGCAAATTTCTTCCACTCTGGCATTTAAAACGTTAGATCCCAGAGAGCAGATACTGCTGTTACTTAAAATGGTTCATTTAACTTTGCTGCACATGGTTTTGCTTTTCTAGCAATTTCTTTCTCCTATGTTGGCACTAAACTGCTCCAAGAAAAAAAAAAGAGAAAAAAAGAAAAAAAGAAGAAAAAAATAAATGGACTTTTCAAGTCTGCAACAAACTGAACAGGTACATACAGTTTAATTCTGAGAAACCCCCACTGCCAAATTCTTGTTCACAATTAAGTATCAAAGAAAAAAAACCCCAGCAACGCATTCACGAACTTACATACCAAGAATGTCATCCCTCTTAGAGATATTCTGCTCCCTCACTGATTGAGCACATATATTTTTGGAGTAATTTAATTCCTTTTTTGTTAACAAAAAAAAAAAAATAAAAAAAGATTTAAGGGCCCCTCCACTGCAAATTTCCTAACCCTCTGGAGACAAAGCCACATGCAGCCTCCCTACAGCAACTCAACAGCAAATCCCCAGGCTGCAGAATTAGGATGCAGAATTAGGACGACCTGACATCAGTGAGGCAGCCCAGGAGCTCTGGTATTTCACCTGCCCTGTGCCCGACAGCCCTGCATAGCCCCATTCTGGCCTTTCCATACCTACTCTTTGCACAAATAACGCTCCTGTTGAAAAGACAGTACCCATACTCAGATAAGAGTGTTTCTGAGGGGCCTCATAATGCTTTCATGTGCTCCATCCAGGAACGGGTCAGCGAGATGATAGCTAATTACTGCCTGTACATCTGCCCACTCATTAGACTTGGGCACTACCTCAGCATCTGGGACACTTCAGCATCTATTAGCAGGCTTTTATCAAAATATTGGCATGACTTCTTAAGCCTGTGGCTTAAGCTAATGTTGGAGAAAAAACACTCTTAACTTCAAAAGGGTGCAGGTCTTTGTGTCACATCCATACTTCACCATGACTTAAAACCAGTAATCACAATCTCATCAGGGTTTATCGCGGTGTGAAGAGTTGCTTACCATGATACGCCACTGCTGTCTAAAAAAGCATTACCTGTGCAAGGTCATTAAGCCTCCAATAGATGGCCGTTAATCATCATTAATTGTTTCCTCACCATCAGTGAACAAGGTCTATAAAGTGGAAACTTGTACTAACTCCTATTTTGTCTTTATTTTCTAATAACTTTCAGGGAATACTACCGAGGAGATGAAACAAGTGAATCTATGCCTCACAGTTGATTGCATCGTGCATCATCAAGAGATACCCGTAACACAGGAATGATCTGGGTACTCAAAGCTGTATGTGCTTTCTATGCTACTCTGACTGCTATCAGACCAGATGGAATAGATATAACTATACATGGCTTAAGCAATAATATCGGGGCTGCTTTAGCTAGAGGTAGTGAAGAAAACAAGAAACAAGGGTAGCAAGGAGGACCCTGGGAACTACTGACCTGTCAGCCTGCCCTCTCTGCCTGGGGAGATCATAGAACAGATCCTCCTAGACGCTGTGCTAAGGCACATGGAGGACAGGGAGGTGATCTGGGACAGCCAGCATGGCTTCACCCAAGGGGAAGTCCTGCCCGTCCAACCTAGTGGCCTTCCATCTATGGCAGAGTGACTACATCAGTGGAAAAGGAAGAACTATGCATGTCATCTGTCTGGACTTCTGTGAGGCCTTTGACACGGTCCCCCACAACATCCTTCTCTCTGAATTGGAGAGAGATGGGTTTGATGGGTGGACTGTTTGGTGGGTGAGGAACTGGTTGGATGGTCACATCCAGAGGGTAGTGGTCAACAGCTCAATGTCTAGATGGAGACTGGTGACAAGTGGTGCCCCTCAGGGGTCTGCACTGGGACCAGCGCTGTTGAATACCTTCATCAGTGACACAGGCAGTGGGATCAAGTGCATCCTCAGTAGGTTTGCTGATGACACCAAGCTGAGAGGTGCAGTCAACATGGTAGAGAGAAGGGAGGCCATCCAGAGGGACCTGGACAGACTGGAGAGGTGGGCCTGTGTAAATCTCATGGAGTTCAACAAGGCTAAGTGCAAGGTCCTGCACCTGGGTCAGGGCAATCCCTGGTACCAACACAGGCTGGGGGATGAAGGGATTGAGAGCAGCCCTGCCGAGAAGGACTTGGGGGTACTGGTGGATAAAAAGCTGGGCGTGACCCAGCAATATGCACTCGTGGTCCAGAAAGCAAATCGCATCCTGGGCTGTATCAAGAGCAGCGTGGCCAGCAGGTCGAGGGAGGGGATTCTCCCCCTCTGCTCTGCTCTGGTGAGACCCCACCTGCAGTGCTGCGTCCAGCTCTGGGGCCTCCAGCACAAGAAAGACATGGACCTGCTCAAGCGGGTCCAGAGGAGGGTCACTGGAGGGGCTGGAGCCCCTCCCCTGAGAGGACAGCCTGAGAGAGTTGGGGTTGTTCAGCCTGGAGAAGGCTCCAGGGATACCACCTAGCAACCTTCCAGTACTTAAAGGGGGCCTATAAAAAAGGTGGGGGCAGTCTTTTTATCAGGGCCTGTTACAATAGCACAAGGACTAGTGGTTTTAAACTAAAAAAGGGCAGATTCAGACTAGAGATAAGGAAGAAATTTTTTATGATGAGGATGCTGAAACACTGGCACAGGTTGCCCAGAGAGGTGGAAGAAGCCCCATCCCAGGAAACATGCAAGGTCAGGTTGGATGTGGCTCTGAGCAACCTGGTGTAGCTAAAGATGTCCCTGCTCACTGCAGGGGGTTGGACTAGATGGCCTTTAGAGGTCCCTTCCGACCCAAACTGTTCTGTGATTCTGTGTTTCATATAGCACACCATCGTGCCGCAGAGCTGCCCAAAAGATAAGCTCCCACAATGACACTGGTTGCCACTCATCACAGAGACAGAACTGTTTAAAATGGTCCTTGCATCCTTTTTAAATGCTTTGTTTTCCTCTAAATTAACAAAGCTTTATCTAACTTGGCTACGAAAAACATAAATATAAAATATGTTAAAGTGCTTTTGTTCTCTAGTTCTATAGCTTTTTAAAAGGCTCTTAAAATCAAGATTACTACCTCTTGCATGATCTCAAACCCTGTTATCAGCATTTTTAGGAAAGGTAGGGAAGGTTAAAAGCTTTCTGAAATTTACCCCGTTCTGTCAGTTGAAAGGTAAAGATATCGGTGAGCTTTTCTAGAGTGCTCCCGCTATCCAACTGGCATTGGTAAATACAACCCCAAAACATCATGAAGCCAGCAGACAGGAGCTTGACAGGTGGATTTTCAGGACTAGGCTCATTTTTGGCTTTCCTTTTGAAAAGTAAATTGCTGAAGGAACAAATAAATGTGAAAGCATGCTCTATGGCACAAGGAAGCAAGGAAGCAGCTGTACCTAAAAACCAGGTCAATATGCAAGTGCTAACAGTCACCACTATTTGAGAGCTAAATGTCCGTGCTCAGCACCAAGCTGAAGGCAACCCTTTTAAGAAGTGCAGAAATGCCTGAATTGCACAACCACCTTCATTCCTCCAGCAACCACACCAACTTCAGTGACCTTATCAGACTCTTACTCCCACCAGTTTCACCTGATGTATTCTCAAATTAGCCTGTTGTGGTGGGTTGACCTTGGCCAGCTGCCCAAGGCCCATCCAGCCGCTCTCTCACTCCCCTCCTCAACAGGATGGAGGAGAACTTAAAATGAATGAGTTTGTGGGTTGAGGTAAGGACAGGGAGCTCACTCATCAATCACTGTCAAAACAGACTCAACTTGAAGAAAAAAATTTCATTTACTGCCATATAAAACATATTTGGATGGTGAGAAACAAAGACCAAAATTAAAATACCACCTCAGCTGTGCCTGGCCATGGGGCTGCTGGAAGCAGCTGTGCCCAGCCCAGGCAGCCCGAACCTCTACTCCCAGAGACCTCTCAGCCCCCACCTGGGCACAGGCAACCTGTACACATAAAAATCAAATATTTCACTTCAGCTACCTCTTCTTAACCAGATGCCAAGGAAAATCTTAAAATTACAACTAAAAGATTCTACATGATTACTATTACTACACTATTGCTACTGAAATTACTCTTACTAAGGAAACATTTAAAAATAGCACGGTAACAGACATAAAACATCCTTGAAAACATACAAACTGTAGGTTACAGTGGCATTCAAAACGGCTTCTTTTTTGGATCAATTTTGTCAACATGTTGTAAGAGAGGTTTAGATCCTCCATGTACTCAAAAATGAGATCAGGAAGCCTCTGCTTGTAGTAGCAGGGGATACTTGAATATGCAAAAATAATAACTGGCACAATCCATCTATATGGCCACCTATGCACCACCTGAGAGACAAGAAAGAAACCTCTTTGGAAATGATTTCATGGTGATGCAGAGCAGCTACCTTTTTAAAATAATCACTTCCTTGCCTCATACCTAACAAATCACTGTGTGCATGCATCTAAGACCAGGCAAGTACAGCTTGTACAACATAGCTCTGTTTAAAGCTGTAACAATACAGAAAAGACCACTCTGGCAAAATCAGTGGCTTACGAACACTCAACTTTGTCTGCTAGTAATGGAGCTGGGGTGGACGACCCAAAAGTAAGTCCTGTAACCCCACACGGCATGTGCTTCGGCATATGAGGTACATAGCAGCAGGCAGAAGAGCACTATCTGGTACAGCTCCCTTGGAGTCTTCATCGTAGCAAGTGAGGATTTACAGAGACTGCTCAGCTAACTGCCAAAGGCTCCCTGGAGTTGCCCTGCGAGATGAGCATTATGCCCTTTCAATAAAAAGCCAATTTCTTTCTTAAAATGGATTTATTAGAGTGGTTCAGCTGGGCCATAAGCCTATCGGTTTTTTAGCATTAACAAATTCTATCTCAATAGAAAGATATGACTTCTAATAGTAGTT